ATGTTACAGATGCCTTCACCATAGTGACATGCAACAGTGACTCCCACGGGTGCTGAGTTGGTCCTTGCCTGGTGTTTCTGGTCCACCCTGAGAGAGCGAGCCCAGTTACACACCTGGCTTCTCCTAGTTTCCATCTTTTCAAGCTCTTAATAATGTTAGGTATTTTAGCATGGTAAGACGGACCATATCCTACAATAATTTACATCAATCAGAGGCCGAATCACTGTTTCCCTTCTCTGGCCTCTGAGTGAGTGGAAACCTACAGTAGTGATCTGTCCAAAACAACAGTATGAAGGAAAATACAAGGATATCTTCTCCCACAAGGAAATTTGTATTTTCAGCTTCTCAAAAGTAACGCTCTAGTTGCAGTGTAGAAAAGGAGAATGTTTTGAGCCGCTGTACTGAAAAACACAGGCACACAGGCAGACAGGCTGGGTCCAATAATGGCTCTTAAAGGGACAGTTGTTTATCTGTCTGGCTGAACTCTGCGACTCAGGCTCCGGGGTCTGCTAGAACCATCTAGAACAGAGGCTACAGCTGACACTCTGCTCTGGTTTTGGACCAAAAACACAGACACACACACAGACTGCTGTTCTACTGCATTGTCAGTGTCCATAACAGATGAGAAAACTCTTTTCATACAGTAGCTGTTGGTGAAAGCCAAATGTCAAGAGACCACAACTATCCTTCTGGTGAGACAAACAGAGACAGAAGAAGACACACAAAAATATGTCCCAAAATACAGACCACATGCATAAGGTATGTCAAATAACGTGTCAAAAACATCTGAAACTGTTCCCTGGACCTGGCCATGTTCGGTTTCTCAAAATTGGTTAGTCATACTAATTAATTTACATCGTAATATCCAGACTGACAATAGTAACACCCAAATTTGCATAACATTACTGAAGGACACCATAAGGAGGTAGGATTTTACTATGGTATCACAGCAAAACCATGATGCAAACGTTTGGGTCTCTGATTCTCCTAGTGTGAAGCATCCCTACTCTTTGTCAATCCTCTGGTGTGTGTCGTGTCATCTGCCTGGCTGGTGTGTGAGCGTCTGTCTGACTAAGCCAAACCAATGACGCTTGTTCTCGCTATAACCAAAGCAGAGCAGCAAAACACACACAGATGGAGGCAACTATGACAGATTTCCAATGAAAAAGGTGTCTCTATATCTTCGTTCTCACCAGCTACATATTTGAGAGGGTCAGAAAATTAGGAACACTTCTGAATATAATGTAGTCCAGTACAACACCACCTTTAATTATAACCTCAATAATAAACATATAATTTAATTTATACATTTATGACTATTTCATCAAAAAGTGAAGCATTTTGAGCTTCATAAGCACAGATGTTAAGGCAGAAGTGCTGCACTGAGTTGCATACAATTGTACAGATGTACAATAAATATAATGCATAAATATACAAGGTTATTCAAAAAGAATGAATCGATTTCATTACGCAATATTTTATTAAGTTAAAGTAATACAAAACTCCAGGCAAGTCACAAGTATTCTACTCACAATCAACTTTTATTTCCTCTCTTACAAGTGTTCAATGTGGCCACAACAACAGCGATCAACTCAGTGCCCTGCAACGCGCAACCTGCTTGAGACTAGGGATGCACCAATATTTATGCCAGTATTGGGTACCAGGTCTGATACCACCCCTCTAGAGCGCAAATACTTGTAAAAGTTGCCCAATACTACAGAACAATACCACTGAGGCAACATTATGTTAACTTTAAGCTGGCTGAATAAGGTGGTGGAGAAGAAATTTCAGCAGTTCGATGATATTTTAAGATAAGTGATGACAAAATTAAAGCTGACTGTGAGCTCTGATTTATTATATTTACTATTACTACTATTACCATTATCACAAAAAATAATCTCATGTGAACTGCTCAATCAAACTAAATAAACAGGTTCCAGACTGACTGTGAAGTTGAGCTCAGGTTATTAATGAATAATCCTTTCAAAAGGAAAATAATTAGCCAGCGGGTGCATAAAGGTCCAGTCACATTACTTCAGTCCAGTGCACCCTTGCAGGCTGTTTCCAAAATAACCAGCACTTGAGTATGATTAGAAATGTTGATCCATGCTGACAAAAGTGTTTCTGTATGCAACACTCTCCATACCTAAATGTTTACAAAATGTTTATGGACTCCTGTGAAGAACTATTTGATATTTTATGTCAGTCTGGTAGGCCTTGACTTGATGCAGCTGTGTAATCACAGAGAACAGAATGTGATGGAGGTTGTGAAAACACCAGGGATTCATTTACAGCAACTGACATCAAAGAAGTTATCTGGATATGAAATTATGTAGTGTCATGCCTATCTGTATTTGGTCCTACTGAGAAACCAGAGCCACCAGTTCTTCTCAGTGTAGGCGTCAAGGATTCAGGCTTTTCCTTTCAATTGACACGGGTCAGTATCAACTTTTGTACAGCAAGTAACGATTCAGTATTTTATATTTTTGCCATTTGTGATCTCTTCTCAATAATTGACCATAGAGATTAAGACATTATGAATAAGACAAGAAATATGATAGCCTTAATACCAAATTATAAAAATGCGGTCTGTCTCATGGTCTTTAATTCATGTGATAAATCCGCACAAAGCATTTCACTATAAACACTGCACACGGCAACATTTTTACAACACAATTAAAAGCACAGAAGAAAAATTTGAACTTCTAAGCTTGAAGCTTAAAATGAAATATCTGAAACATTCATACTGAGTGTCTGTAATGTTAAACTTATGATAAACCTGCATGTTTTTCCAGCCAAACCACACTGTTTACAGTTGGCAAAGAAGCCCTTTTCTACTACTATCTACTATGTCTATACTCAGTCTGTTCTGAGCAACCTAGCTGCTTCTCCACAGACGAGGAGAGACTTTATATAGTGGAAAAATACTTGTGCTTTTCTGTTTGATCAACTTCTCTTATGTGTAAATGTTACTGAGTGTGTTCACAGATTGCAATCTACTTGTTCTGTTACATTTATTCATAACACAGCTGTGTTGATGGCGACATTAAAGGTGTGTGTGTGTGTGTGTGTGTGTGTGTGTGTGTCGGACGTACGTAGTGGAGTTTACAGTGGTGTATCCAGAAGGACACTCTGGAATACAGGCCCCGTTGTGGATGACGAATTCATCGCAGCTTGACTCGCGATCCTGGTTCAACTTCTGCTTACACTTGTTGTGGAGATCCTGAATTATAAACCAAAACAAAACATAAAAAAACATGTCTGTTTACACTATTGCATAAGTCTATTACATTTGTGGAAAATATTGCTTGAGTTCATCTTAAGAATTCCAGTTATTACCCACCTGGCAGAAAGAGAATTTGACGCAGCGCCAGCCCTTGTAGATATAGTATCCTGGAGGACATTTCTCCACACAGGTGTTCCCATGCTGGAGGATCCTGCAGGCCACACAGCTACTTGCATTACCTGGCTCAGAACAGCCTCCCAGGCACTGGTCATGGCAGCACTGGCCCTGAAGGCTACATGCACCATGCTTACAGTTGTCCAAGCACACTGAAGAGAAGCAGAAGGAGAGGAGAAAATGGAAGGAGGTTAGTATCAGGTCTGACACTAGACCCATGTTTTATTTTTGCCCACAGTAGTATCTTTATGTGTTTGTAACGACTCCTGGGCGAGATGGCACAAAAACACACAAATATATTTCAGAAGTCAAAAAAAGCAAAATACCAAAAATAAATGGCACATGGCTGCATGTAGGCTGTCTCTTTGTCTAGTATTTAATAGCTCACAAAACAATAAAGCAAGAAGGGGTGGAAAGTGGTAAAACTGGTCACCAAGGGGTAGTTTGCTCTGATCTGAGGGCAGTGAGGGAACCACATGCATATTTGTAGCTTAGAGATATGAATGACTATAGGCATTAGAATAATTTTTTTAGGTCAAATAATCAAGCCAATTTAAGCCATCATGTGCCCTCTACCATGACCAAAAACAAACAAACAAAAAACTGTGCGACCAACCAGTGAGGGAACCGTTTTTTGGCAATGTTGTAACTGAGTCCTCATCATGTTAGTAGAACCATGGAAAAAAAATGTAGCTTGATAACACAAAATGAACACAACTTTGTTGTCCAACTCCGTAACATATAACCACACATCGGTATTTTTGCTGAATCTGCTAATACATCTACATCCATGCACATCTCTCGCCTGCTCTGTGTGTGTAGCACAGGGGCAGAAACAGTTTCATTAACATTAGTTCCACCTCTCTATAATGTAAATGAATGTTACCAAAGAATTATTCGATTTCTTTTTTCAATGTGATGACACAGATTTTTTTTTATTTAACTGATTCATCAGTTATTCATGAACATCCCTAGCTGTGTGTACTATAAACAGGCGTTTTCAGCTAGAACAAGCTGCCTTTTTAATGTGTTATTGCTGTGCTTGCCTAAAAAAATTATTAATTATCATCAGAAGAAATACAGGTTTTGTGACTGAAAACTTTTGAAAAGGGCAAAAACAACAAAGAAAAATAAGATCAGGGATGTCTTTAATATCTGCATTATCCTTAATATAAAGGAACAGATAAAATAAGACAGACCAATCACAAGCAGGTTCACTATCAGCTACAAAAATATGAGAAAACAATGTTTAAAAGCAGTGCAACGGGGGAACAGAATGCCACCTCTGTGGGGACATCACAGGAGCTCTTATCACTAAGAATCCAGCTAGGGCCCCCCATTCCTAGCCACTGCATGGAAGAGCTGCCCATTGTGCTGCCTGAGTAAAAGCGGAGAGGACATATGGGGTTGTGGCAGAGGGAGAGAAGGGCAGGGATAATGAGGTTAAAGGAAAGCACAATGACAAAAGGGGCAGGGGGTTAAAAGGGAGGAAGAATGACTAATATAGAAAAACACCATCCCTGACCTTCTGCGGTAGTTCATGTAGGGGTTGCTCCACTGCATTTTCTTTACTATGAGCTACTAAAACCACCAATGCACACAGTTGTCTCTCTGTCAGAGAAAAATGCACAGCTCCCTCCCCCTCCTGTTTGTCTACTGTGTGTACACACTATGACCACGGCATCACATAACAGAGAAGGGAGGGTTGAGACACCTCCCTGAATCCAGTTCCAGCTGACGATCCATGCCGGCGTAGTGATCCAGCCCCAGATCCACCCTCAGCTTCAGCCAATGTGTTTGCTGGCTGGGAGACGCAACCATTCAATGGCCTGCTCCATGTTGGGAAAGAGAGACGGCCCGGGTTAACCCTGGCCTTGCTGGGGCAGACAGAGGGCAGACGCAGCTAAGGAAGATAAGTCTACTGCTGAACTACAACAAGCTTAAGAGTGAAGCAATGCCAAAGCAGAGCTAGGTGGAGCGAGAAAATCTGTGTTACATCAACAATATTCAGTACATGGGCATGAAAAACAATCATTTTAACGGCTTAATAAAGACCTACAATAAACCAATGCACTACCCTTGCTACTCTATTTTACAAACTGGTAAATTTATTTAAAAATAAATTTCTTCATCAGTATATTCACCCTTTTCCTCTCATGCTTCTATCTGATCCCAACACAGTGGTCCCAGCAGAGAGTACTACAGTAGAAGAACACTGCTACTACTGCAGCAGCAGCAGCATTATTCCTTATTCTGCTCACACTAATACCAGGCTACACAAGCTAGATGCTATGGCAAACCTACTCCAGTCAGTTTGCTCATTCATTCATCCCCTCCTCTGTCCCTATCTCTGTCCCTCTTCTCCGCCACAGCCTCACCCTGCCTTGCACTGCTATCTATTTCTCTATCTGCCTGCCCGCCTGCCTTTTGAGGCCACTTGGCCCCTCCTACTTTCATTCATACAAGGCCTTGTTTTGGTTTCATGTTGGCCAGATGGAGGAATGGAATGAAGATGGCAAAGGTAGAAGGATAATTTTGATCATGCCTCAACAACAAGAGGAGGAGGAGATGGCATTGGCATCAAGGAGAGCTCATCTCTCATTTATCTGAACACACGCATGTAACCCTCGCTGTGCCATTCAGTAATTTGCCTGCCAGTTCCCTACATAGAGACAGAAAGTGAGAGCGCGCTGCAGTAAGGGTTTTAAAGGCAAAGCCTGATCAAAGGTGTTCTGTGTTCACCTTTCATGGCTACTCCATTCCTGGGGAAGGAACATGGGAGAAGCTAGGCAGCCAATAGCATGCAGCCACACACACTTCCTGCTCTTAACACATAAAATCTCCCCTTTAATTGGCAGTGTTGTCTGCAGGCAAAGCGCTGAGAACAATAACAAACACGTTTTTATCCCAGAGTCGTTTACTCAGGAGAACACACGCGCGCGCGCACACACACACACACACACAGTTACTGGATTCACGTTTACTATATTTGGCCACAGTGGGAGTCCTAAGCCACAAAAGCTTTGCTATAAATGCTTTGAGTGAGCTGATGTAAGACATTCACCCTGAGAGAGTAGAGGAAAGAGACAGGGGGAGGGGAAGGAGTGTAAACAAAAACACACTGATTGCTGGGAGGGAGAGAGTGATACTGTCATCAGAAGCATCACCATACATGTAAGTGAGCGCACACATACGCAAATACAAACACATATGCTGAGGCAAAGGTCTGTTTGTGTTCACAGTGGTGGCCAAAAGGAAAGTCACAGAGGAGGGAGAGTAGAGAAGGGGAATAGAGTGAACTGTAGACAGAGAAAGGGAGATCAAACAGAAGAGCAAAAGAGAGTGAGGTAAAAGGTGATGGAGAGAAGGACAGGAGTAATGGTAAGATGGTTCTGGTAAGAGGTCTATTTGATTCTAGTCAATACTACTCACAGAAGGTCAAAGATGTGTCACCAGGATGAACCTTAAATTATTGCCCATCTCTTCTGCTGTTATCAAGCTTCAATTTATTCATACTATAAAACAGTCCCCAGTAGTATTTAAAATCCACTTAGTGTCCGATAAAAGTATTATTTTCCTAACATACACTAATGTGCATGAGGGTATGAGCACCTATTTTAATAGATTTTCCTTTTAACTGCAAATCTTGTTTGAATGATTCAATTATTAATTTTTGAAGTCCCCAGATCGACCTTTACACTAGATCCTTCTCTCAGTAAATACGTACAACTGTGCTAAATGCTATGCATATGCAGAGGTGACTTATAAGTGGTTCAGCTCAGGCTGCATGGTCTGTAAAACATTGTCTTTGTGGAAAACATGTTGGTACAACGTGCACAAAAGGGTTATAAGTAAGAAAAGCCACTGTTCTCTGCAGACGGGTTGATATCAACACAAACGGTACAGGTGAACCAGTTTCTGCGGGGATCTGTGCTTACACTGATCACTGAAGTAGAATCTGGACTTGTTGACACATCTACTACTGCATGTAGCTGTATTTAATAGGATTTTTTTTTTAGGCTATGTGTAATGATGATACCTTTCAGGGTGCAGGGTTTTATTATTCCTGCTTAACTGTTTTACACATGTACCTACAAAATTTAGATGTCATGTTTTAGTTGTTTGGTATGTGCCAAGGAAAATGAATCCTCGGTCCACAACATCATTATAACCAGGACATGTTTTTACAAGTGCAGTTTTTCCCAGTGCAGTTAGCTGTAAAGGCTATTCCAAATGGCAAATATTTTAAATATTGTATTTACTTTCCTTCTGACTTGGGGATAAGGGTGATAAATTATTTGACTGAAACCATGTTTTTGAGCACTCTCAGAGGCCAACTGATTGCCTGGATGACCATTTAGCACATCTTTTCTCTATAACGGAGGTAGTGACAGCAATGTTAGCACTAGCTATAGCATCACCATACCCTTAGAGGAAATACTGCAGGTTAAAAAAAACTGAAATGTCCTTTAAAGGATGAAAAGAGAGGTAAAACAAGTGATGGAAGGAGGAAAGAAGAGAAGTAAACATACCCTTCTTGTCCCTCTGCAGCAGCCACTCCCTCTCAAGGTTATTGACACACAGATAAAAAGCAGGCATTATGTAAGCAACTTTCCAAACACAGGAACCAGAGCAGTGTTTATGAGCTTACTCATGTGTACGCAAATATCAAGATGATTCCCTGCTGTTACAAAGCTGTGCAAGGCCAGACACACACCAGTCCCACAGGTATGTGCAGTGGGCTAAATTGAACAAATCTCAGTAATCTGTGGCTATGTGTTTAAATGTGTGTCCATGTGTGAATGTATATGTCAAACCAGACATCAGATTGTTCTCTGGTATCTTTTATTCTATTGGTGTCTGCCTAAAATATCTAGTCAGGCTCTGGAACATCTCAATGTGATATTTAGGTTGTGATTGTATAAAAGGTGTCCTGGTAACAAGACTGCACCATGTGACAAAAACACCACCACTGAAATTTGTTGTCAGGAACAGGTGACAGTGTGTTTCCCTAAAAAACAGTCCTTGGATTAAATGGATTAAATACACAAACAACAGTCTTAAAGTCAAAAGTCAGAAGTATCACCGCACCTCCTTCGATGTTATCAGCTCTATTTGTAATCCTGTGGAGCTGCCAAGAAGACATTGACAA